ACAACAAAGCGCTGGTGCGAAGGGCTCAACAGCTCCCGCCGGGCCTCCAAATCAGGCTAAAACGCAGAATGTTTGGCACAATTTCTCCAATTCTATTTACCTTGCAGGTTTCTTCTAACGCTGCTAAGAATAACACGCCTGCAAAACAAAAGGGTCAAAAATCTGGTCAACAGAAACAAGCTGTTCAGCCTTCAGAGGGTCCCCCTGTTACGGGTGCTTCAACAGGTATGATGTCAATTTTCGACCTTGCAATTTAAAGTATATAGCATCATATAATCAAAAGTAACTAGGAGCCAGACTTGGTAGATCTGTGCTCAATTTTCCATCCAACTATAGTCCTATCTTGATAAAAGTCCAATCGTAGTTTTATAATTGTTACAAACGTTGGTTTTATAGCGTATTTTTTGTTTCCACTGTGAATGCCTGTCCACGCCTTGAAGTCTAACAATTTTCAAGTCCTACCCGAAGTGGATTTTTCTGAACCTTGATCTTCTTTTCGACTGCGTGCTCCCATCGGTTCTATATTTTCTGGTCACGCTTAGTGGTCCAAACTCCTGAATAATTCTTTGTTTTACGAACAAATTTCGGATACTGACTAGGAACTCAATACATTTCACCAAATGTGGAACAACCTTACCGCAAACGTCCATGAAGGCGCTAGATTTACGTATCTTGGCCATCACACGCACACTTAAAGTTTCATACTAACTCGACTTGTCTCCCTGTATTCCATGGCACGCCGGACGAGTTTCTGCCAGTTCGTGTGCTTTTATTCGCTGAGATTCTTGGTTTTGGTTTTTGACTTGCCGAAAGTTTAACACGAATATCCTTTTTTTGTCCCTGTTGCTGTGCTGAGTCTATGAACGCGCTTATTTTTTTAAATCCACTTTGTCCCTCGTTGTCTGGCCAGCATAGACCTCGCCAGACTGCTTTGTTTTTTTCGCTAATTTTTGGCCTAAAACCACATCTTAGATGGTGTCAAACTAACTAGATGTTGTTACTGATGGGTGCCATCACTCTTTGCCAAGTTCACCCAGAGTGTGCGAAACGGCCCTCAATTGAGCAGTTTCCTTTCAAATTGGATGAGTATACCTAAACAGGATATCCGCAGCAGACGCAGTTAGCTTGTCTCGAAATATGCCCTTAACTGGGACAACTGCGTAAACATTAAAAAAAGTACTTATTATCGTACGCCGACCATGACACAGTTGAGCTTTAGCCTCTGTCCTCGGACTTCACAGTGGTAATAAACATTTCTCCTTGATACTTTTATCACCCTTTCATGCTTTTGTAGTTGCATAACCAACTTATCGTCATGATGTATGTGACCAACCTGGATGATGGCGTGTATTGTACTTCTCCATGTCTGCCTTTCAGAGCTTAGTAAACTCTTTTACTCAGCGATGGAGGTCAGATAGCAAAAGTGCCTAACACTGCCCTAATGTTTTGACATACTGTGTCGAGTTATGTATAGCGTCGACCGCTTGGGCACCACCGGGCGAGCATCAGCACTATAGTCATAAAGCGAGCGATGATAAACGTGTCCACACCACCTCAGATATTTGGGCAATGTCACGGCGAGTGCGGGCAGTCTCCTCCGTCAAGTGTCGGTTATAAGGCTAAAATAATGAAGCACCTGTGCTCACATGCTTACAGCCGAGCATTCCCAACTCTAGAGAAGGAGTACTGGCTATGCAATCTCGACGAGTCCATACAAATAATTTTTAAAATTCTGCCCGCTGTGTCGATGCTGGATGACGATTTTTATGATTCCCCCCGCCGCTTGAGAAGTTTGTTTTGGTTTGTTTCATTTCATTGGAGTACCTTATCCCGGCGGTTCGAAAACACTGGACTTCCCAGTGTTAATGGGTCAACCGACTGATTTAGCGGCTTCGTTCACCCGCTACAATACATTCCATAGGTTATCATAGCTTGGCGGCCAGCCAGTATGTAGATGTAAATTTGACATCAGCAAGAACCCATAGAAACTCTTCTGGAACCTATTCAATAGCGTAGTTAAAGAATCTGGGTAAGAGAATGCAAGCCTATTGGACGCCAGACCGAGTATCGAGCGATTGAGGGGCGATGGTTACGGATCAGAATTCTTGCAGTGGCGGAGGAGTAGCATGTCTTGATCACAGCGATCCCTTTTTGGGCAAGCAATCTAGCTCCATTATCCTCTAAAAGACTTCCAGTAAGTGAACTCAAACGTTACACAGTAAAGCCAACAATTCCGGGGGCCTTCGGTTGCTAGTGACCATGAAAGGTTTAAAGAATGCTTCGCAGGATGGATATTTGGCCAGTGCATCCACGTCCAGGTGAGCACCCAGCTTGTTTAGGTTCCGACCTTGAGTCACGCAAGCTTTGAAGCCGTCTAGGTGTGAGAAGGCGATAAGACTTATGTCGCGGCAGTTCAGGCACTTCGTTTTATTCTTCTTCGCAAGCCAGATAGAAAAGTGGTCCAGCGTCAGCCATCTGGTATGCTCTTACGTCTCCGCCTACCCGTCGGCACAAAACAAATGGAACGACCTAATGCTACCTGCGCTGTGCGCCCTAACTAGCATCCCTAAACTAAATAACAA